TCTTTCCTGTCAAGCCTTACTTTCCCCTGGAATGCCAATGCCAGAGTATGTAAATTTTAGTATAGAACGCGCAAGGATTCAAAATTATCAGCGGAAGTATTCTGAGTTAAATAGAAAGGAAACGAGTTCGAAAGTGTTGCTTTCTTACTTCACGAGCGTGGAGGTAGCTAGTTAGAAATTGAAGAACCACGCGTTTCGGCCTGTGTGCTTGGCCTCGGCAAATTGTTAATCTTTCAACGTAATATTCAGAGTTTGCTGAATTATCAGCGGTATTTATAGAACGCGGTGAGGTGAGGTTAGTTACGTTTAGAGAGCCTCGTAGTTAGTCACTTGTTATTATCTTTTTCAGGTTTCTTATTTTTATTTTACCGCCGGGTCGGCGTTTAGTGTAGTTTGTGAGCGTCAAGAGAGCACGCAATTGTAATTTCTAAAGTTGAATAAAAAGGGATTTAAACCCTTCTCAAGACTGGTCTATTTCCAGTTCTCAGCAGTCACCACTTTGTTGCGTGCAGGTTGGAAGCGCGCAACTTTACAGGCTTTTAGATTTTTATTTATTTATTTATATTTTAATTATGGCCGTTAGCTATATTCACAACGTACATTTGCCCCGCGCGTGCAATTTGATTTTGAGACCACTGACATAGTGTGGTAGCTCAAAAGACTTGGAAATTAATCGAATTTTTGTTATAAATTATAAATGCATTTATCCAATCTATCATTACTTCTACTCTATCTATTGTTACTGAAATTAATTTTAAAAATGATAGTTGCAAACTAGTGAGCATGAGGAATTTTTAAAAGAATTGAATATATCTATACCTCTAGTCCTTCCATTCAAAGAAATTATATCCGATAATTCTTTTTTAGATGTATAATATTTAGAAACCATACGAATAAAAGTAAGCAGTTATATCTATCGATTGATCAAATTGAAGGAAAAACAAGAACATCAGCTGATACAGCTGTATAACAATTATCTTATACTTTTACTTGTTTTCTCGTCCACTGCATCATAGCAATTCGAGTGAATTATAGACCCTTAATTGCAGAAATAATTTCAGTCTTGTTTCTAAAATCATTAAACGCACTGAATTTGGTATTTCTAAGAAAGTATTTTTTTTTGAGGTTATTCATCAGAAAATAGTTAAAATTTTTGGGGGCTAAAATATGGCTTGCTTTGAATGATGTCATAGTCACCAAGGCTGGTGCCAAAGCCGGTGAAATTTGTGTAACTGCACGAGGCGGCAGAATTCAGTGGCTGCAAAATTTTTAGAATTTAGAGAATTAACGGGTAATAAAATTAAGGTTAGAACCCACAGAATTTACACTGAACGGCTAAGCGCCTAGCGACGACCCTGATACCGCATTGGTGGTGAACTTGATTCTCAAGCTATTAGATCCGGATTACAGTTATAGAAGGCATAGACGTTTGTGATTATAGTGTCTTTACAGCATAGGGAAGATTGATATCTGTTGATTCAAAAATCCTCTATAAATATTGGAATTAGGATAACAGAAGTACAAGACCTTTGGATACTATCCCTTGATCTGATTTCAGACCGCAGGTTTTAATAGTTTGGACTGTTGTGAGCATCCTGGAGCTGAGTATCTTATTTCATAAATATAGCTAAGAAATTTCGAATAAAATATCAAAATATCGAAAATTTTACAGCCTAAAATTCTGATTTCTACTGCCATATCTTCGAGATTCTTATCCATACGGAAATATAATTTTTTAATGGTCTTATTTATCCTTAAGTAGATAACTTATTTTAGTGAAAGTAAAGTACTAGTCACGTCATGAAGAAATTATAGCTAATTTTGTAGCGCCATTCAAAGGTGCCCTTCTGTACACGAAGAAATTAAGACAATGTGTAAAGAATGTTGCATGTGGAGCCAATTGGCAATCGAAAAATAAATGTGTTAATTTGACTGCTATTTTTCTTTCTCTCGGTTTGCATCAGGCCAAGATAATGATGATAGAGTTAATGCAGATAATGGCAGAAAGGAATATGTATTTCGTTAAAAGAAAAAAATTTCTACAACTAATCCATTTGAACAGGAATGCAACTGGAATACACAAGCCTCGAAAACGGAACGGTGATATATAAATATTCTTTGCTTGTGCAAGTAGTAGTATCTAAACTTCATAAGGAAAACGATTTTAGAATTTTTCAGAACTGTTATACTCTTTAGAGGCAAGCGTTTCACTTTTATCATTTATAAATTCTTTTGTTTTTAAATTCGCTTTGGATGTGATTGATCTCCTTAAACATAAAGTAAAAAAGCAACTGGGGAAAATTTTGAAAAACTAAAACGAAAAGGAATCGTTCAGCAAAGTAACATCAGAAAACTTATATCTAAATTCGATATTGCCTGAACAGATGAAAATGTGACATGCGATGATATTAAACGATTTAATTGAAGAAATTAATAAATTAAATTCATCAGATAGTCAATATGAGAATTTAATTGATATAAATTTTATTGACGAATAACAAAGCAATAGTGCTTATTACCAAGAAAAATGTATCAGGTGTAGTAATAATATTAAACATTTTTTTTCCTACACAAAGAAAACTGTTTATAATTCGACATCCGACGGAATGTTACCCTCAACTCAAAATGTAAGGATTTCAAATGACAACTTAAATTTATCTCTTTCAATTAAACTTCTTCAGTTAATAATCAAACCGTAATCTTGAGAACGGAAAGATGGAACGAATTTTGGGATTCGTTTGAAAATACTGTTGATCGAAATGAGTGACATTCGATTATTTGACTAGATCAGCTTCAAATGCAACATCTAGATTTCACCTAAGCGAAAAAAGTGTGGCAACTGTGTAAAAGTATTTGAAGATCGCTTCGGTCGGAAAGATATCATGTTTAATTCTTTTATGAATAAAATTTTAAACTTTCAAAGCTTTAGAAATTCTTGAGATATTACAGATTTAAGAAGGCTATATAATGAGCTAGATATTGCTACACGAAATTAAGATTAAATTCAAAAGATTTCAAATTATTATAGTCCAGTTTTGATTTCCATTGTACTAAATTTATTGCCAGAAAATCGTATTTCTGATTTAAGTAAAACACGAATTCTAAACGTGACGCTAAGTTTCCGATATTTAACCATTTTCAAAATGTGAAGTTGAATGTCGAGAATAAGCAAAGGTTTTTTCAGTTACAGTACTGCTCAAAACAAAACTGGAATGAAAGTATGTACAAACCATGGAGGTAGGAAGTAAGAGGAGAGGCCTAACTGGTTTTCCACATTCTCTGTTTTGAAGCAATGGCGATACCCTCGTGGAGACCAAAACATTCAGTGACTTACCGTTAAGATCAATGGGTTTTGAATGTAAACATTTCGTAATTACGTCGTAAATATACGTATCAATGTACATATTTTCTTTTTCTACAATATTTCAAAGTCCTAAGTATGCGAAAAGAATGCATTTTTAAACAACATTCTGAACGGAACTAAATGTTATAAGTTTCCCAGAATAGTTAATTTGAATGAAATATTTTCACAAGTTTTCGTTAATTACATTAGGGAAAAAAATTGAAGGTAATTCTATTTTATTCGGTTAAGGATTACAAAAATTAAGATTATAAGGTATTTCTCCCGCTTTCTTAGCGTGCCTTCGTGGTGTAGTGGTCACCACACTAAGCCGGTATTTCAGAGGTCCGTGGTTCGATTCCCGACGAAGGCGTTGCTAATTTATCGTCTCTTTTACTTCCAATTAACTTAATGTCTTTACAAGATGAAGTTTATTGTATTATTAATATTAAAATTACGTATTATTTCTTTTCTATTTACACAGCTTCTTCCTACAATACTTTCTCAAACATGAGATAATTTTTTGGCTTCTCTTTTTGTCTTTAAATCGAAAATTTGAGTCAATTTATAATTAATACTCTGTTCGGTTCATTTCAAATTAGAGCACCTTTTATTTTAATAATGAAATACGTTAAATATTGGTGCTGATTTCAATGCACTTAACTTTATATGAATATTTCTGAAAGGGAATAAAAAAAGGATTATTTTTTTTTAATATTATTTAAAACTTGTAACTGAGTTATTATAAAATGTAACGAAATAATTCTTTTAATACTTATCAGATGTTTTCCCCCTTAATTTCAAGAGTACATATTCTAAAAACTCTTCTTCACTACTTCCTTATGTACGCATCTCATAGAATTTGCTTTACAACACATTTAACAGATTTATACACTTATATTAATAGTTTAATAAACGTATTTGTCAACAGAATTTCAATTTATGTTAGCAATTAAATGTTAAGGTTATTATATATTTAGATAATATTTATAACCATTATAAATTTAGATATATTTAACAACTAGATTTCTTCACAGAAACTTCCACAGGAGTTTATGAATGGATAAATCCTTCATTTCCAAATAACTCAATGAATATTTAAGTATTTTGTTAAAAGCAGATACATGCTTTTTAAAAGCATATGCATAAATACTCATATATATTTAATATCTTTCCTTTTCGGCATGTGCAAATCTTTAATTTCTGTCCATTCACTATCTTTAGTAATCTAAAATAATTTAGAATATACCAGAATTTTTTACATAAGAAATATGTGTAAATATAATTTGAATGAAAATTACATGCATTATTTTTAATACCTACTCAGTCACGAAGTCAATTTTCCTTCGAAATAACTCCACGATGGCATCTCTCCCTTGCATGCCTTACCCTATTTAATAAAAACTTAACCTGACCTATGCGCCTAATTACAAATATTTTAACATTTATAATTTTACATTTATATTTAACTATCAAGTTTCAAACTTTTGACTGCGAGAATATAATTAATTTTATCTACCAAAAAATTAAGGAAAATATAAATTGTTAAAACTAAATATGAATATTTTTTTTCCTTTTTCAGTATACTTGTTTCATAACTTAATTTAATAAAGTTTTTCTTTTAAAAAACAATACAGAATCTAGAACGACACTAAGCAGATAGAGGTAAAAAAAAACTTTTATTACATTCAGAATAAAATATATGTACATTTAATTGCAAATACTGGTTAAAACAGCTTTAGGCTGCCTTTAGTTAGTTCAGTTTTTGTTTAATCGAGAACCGCACACGCAATAACAAATATCTGTACACTTCCATCGACATCCGGGCTCTCGAAGGCAGCTGTTTCTATACTCTCGCACCTCCAAGGGTTCGATTTCTTGTACACGTGACACGAGACTAGCCATGAAGTTTGCTGTCGGCAGCCGCTCAGCTTGGATCTGGAAATAAATCATTTACTTTATAAGATTATTTTTTAGAAAATAATAGAGATCATTTTTATTTTATGATAAGAATTTTAATAATCTGATGGCAGTTAGCAGCACAAGAGGAGAAGAAAAAGAATAATTGGAATTACAAGTTTTTAATGTGCACACCTTCGCAGGCGATAACGAAATGCATACGGAGATTGTTGGCAACAATGACGAACGTAACATCGCAAGAGAAATCTGTATAACTTCGCGATTTATAGCACCTTTCAATTCTGACAAATTTCGTGGATTTGATGCTTTCAGATAACCCCAGAACCAGAAATTTATTGGAATGAGATCGAGGTATCGCTACAAAACTGCAAATTTACGGAAGATGCCTCTATCTTTAAACGGTGTAGACGTTGAAAGCTTATAATTCCATTAAAAGTGTTTTCCCCCTCTCCTCCCTAATATTGTCATCGGCCCCTAACGCTGTGTTCAGACGACGGTATAAAGGGCTTAAATGATTTAAGCCCAGCTGCGTTGCCAGGCAACCAGTTTGTGCTACGTCACAAAATCTGGTTTAGGGCTCTTGGCATTAAGTTCGAAGTTTTCAATTGTATGCCGACTTGGGATAAGCGTCGACCAGTCAGAGAGAATGCGCGAAACTTGAATGGGAAAACAGAGCTGGAAAGCTGTAGACCAGGGTGATGGCGAACCTTTTAGGGGGCGTGTGTCCAAAATTCAACCAAAACCCACTTATTTATAGAAAAGTGCCAAAACTCCAATTAAACCTGAAAATGGGGTTTTGGATTAGTAAAACAGCATACGCTTGTCTTTAGACTTAAATAGAAAAAAACAAGAGAGTTTTCAACGATATAAAAAACTTTTTGCTACAGGAAACACTGATCCATGCAGCACTGTATTTTGCTACATTATCAAATTGCATGTTTTTACATTATATTTGTACATTCCGTTTAAGATATTAATTTACAATTATTCATAAGTTACCTCAAAATGTATAGGTCAGAAAACATAGTATTTAGTATAGTCTATTTAACAATGAAAGTATTAAAACTCACCGGCAGTCTGTAATAAACTTGAATTCGTTTAGCAAACATTAGCTACTTTGGAGCATTCTTTGCCGTGTAACAAGTAATATGATTGGCCCAAACGATTGAAACGTCATAAATTGGGTCCATAAATATGTACATTATTTCTATTGTGATTATGTACATCTCATCTAGGCTTAGGCCGTATGCCAGTGGCATTATGCGATAAGTAAGTAAGTGAAACGTTCAAGAACAGACTAAAACACTTATTTAAATTATATAGCATAATTTTATTGTGATTATTAATTAAGGAAGTAATATTTTAGTCATGTGCTGGTTGATGAGGCTCTGCGTTCCGACTGTGGCACGCGTGCCAGAGGTTCGCCATCACTGCTGTAGACACATCCACGCATGCGCAAATTTAGCTTCTCTAAGTGGGGGGGGGGGCTTAGACCCTGCGTCGCAGGTGTGAATGGAATTTCCGCATTTTATTCCTTGTGACTATGCCTCTGTGAGATTTATGTTGCTGTCTGAACGCAGCCTAAGACTCCGTTCAGACTATGGTATAAATATCATTGAGGCAGGCACAAGTTACGAGAGTTCTGTTCACACGTGCGAGACAGAGTCTAAGCTGTAGCCAGTTAGAGAAGCTATATTTGCGCATGCGTGGATGTGTCTACAACTTTTCCGCTTTGTTTTCTCACTCAATAAGTTCCGCGCGTTCGTTGTGATTAATCGACTCTTATACCAAGTCGTCATAAGCTTGAAAAGTTCGTTTTAAATCAGTTTTTGCGACGTAGCAAGGTTTATACTTCGCGACAAGCTAACCTGAGAACACATACAAGGCTAGAACGAACTTTTCACAGCTTCTCACCCTGTTCTTAATGTTATCCATACGCAGCAAACTGCCCGCGGATATTCAATTCCTCCAATTCGCTACACATTTGGCGAGTTCTTGTCAAATCCAGCGTATTTAAATAACAATCTTTTTATGCAGTGAAGCTGCAGTTGAAATTGATAGTTCATTGTAGTGTAAAATGTAGGACATGTTATTCATTTTCTTAATTTATATGAAATATTTCGCTATTATCTAAATGTGACGCATACGAATTTGATGACATTTAAAACCCGAATCTTTACTTAAAACTTGAAAAGGAAGAGCTAACAATGTATTGCTTGCAGTTTGGGTGAAATTTTTTACCAAAGGCCGTTCGCTTAGTTAAAAATAAAATATGTAATTTCTTTAAAATCTGGTAGTAAGTTTTCTTAAGAGTTTACGCAGCTTATTGCTACCAAAACAGTGAACAAGGGGGAAATTTTCGATTTTTTTTTTTAAAGATGTTACTTTGATTTTAATTTGCGATTGCTTAAAAACTCTGATAATATTTTATAACAGACATTTTAAAAATTATACCCTGTGTTAATTGTCTCCAAACACACATACATTTCCCAGTCAGGCTGTTTCGTCTTTTCGGTAGATAGGTGGCGCTCTTGTTGCGCGCCGATGAAAAATATTTCACTTGACGCTTGAACTTGAAGAATGACGCATGTCATACCTTTTTTTTTTATGCTTGATTATGTTTTCATGGCCGCTATACGCGGAAGTAATATACTATATCATTAAGTTTATCGTTAATAAATGTTATTTCTATGTTCTGTAAAATCTTGAAGTTTTGATTTGAAATTCTAATGCTCTCCCAACCTCTTCCCTGAAAACGAAATCAACTTTGAAATTATGACTCATGAAGAGACACCACATTTTTTTTTTTTTTTGTGCCTGAAACCCGCGAAAAGGGGAATTACCTTTTGAAAGGTAAGAATTTTGATTTATTTGTTCTTAGTATCGATCTTTGAAAACGAAACATAATGGATGATTTAGCAAAAGAGAAAAAGAAACGTGCCATTGTACGTATTAAAGTTACTACACTTCTAAATAAACTTGAGAAATTATTATCGGAAGAATTAAGTAAAGAACATCTAGAAGATCTAAATTCATCATATGAATTGTTAATTGAATACCATGAGAAACTTAAAAGTCTTGACTCAAAGATCGATGCTCTCATAATTGATGAAAAAGAATATGATAACGAACTACTTGTATGTGAAGAATATAATGAAAAAATTATAACGTTTAAAACTAAGATTGTTACTAAAGTAAAGAAAATTAACAGTAATGAAGTTGTTGAAAGAAGTATAATTACAACTACCGTATTTATGCGAATCTAATGCGCCATCGAATCTAATTCGCATCCCCATTTTAAAACTTTAAATAATAAAAAAATTGTTTGTCGGCGAATGTAATGCGCATCAATGATATGAGGAATTTATTGAATCTTATTTTATACAACAATGGATTTGTATATAAACTATCAATTAATGGTATGATAATTTTATTAAAAATTTAGATACCATATTTTATACAACAATGGATTTATACATAAAGCAGCAGACCATAGAATTAACCTATTAGTGGGCTATTGTCATGTGAAACAATCATTGTTAATTAGCACTACCGTATATACGGTACCTATCGTAAAATATGAACATGAAATAAATCGTAACATTTCTATCTAGCTAACAGTTTCTACAATCAGTGATTAATAGTAAACGTCTTTATTCACTAATGTTTTCATCACTGGAATCCTCGCAGCTCTCTTCGTCAGAAGCAGATTCATTTCTTCTTTCCTCATCATCGTCATCCTCATCCTCGGCGTTTCAGAGCACGTCATCGTCACTCATCGCCATTCGCCATGATGCATTTGAAATGCAGCATTTCTTGAAAGATTTCACAATCATTGGTGCTTCGATGCTTTTCCAGGCAGCAGAAACCCAGTGTGCAACAATGTGCGGTGCAGCACGCTTAATTTTTCCTGTCGGGGTCAATACACGGTTTGGCTCACAAAACCATTTTTCGTACTCCGCCTGAACGTACCCCTTAAAAAGTTTATTTATACTAACGTCCAGGGGTTGTAACATAGACGTCATCCCTCCAGGAATGATAACAAGATCACTGCCTAGGCTGTGCATCTTCTTTTTTACGTCGTCGGTGAGATGACCACGAAATGCGTTCAGACAAAGCATTGATGGTGGATTAGAGAGCCCACCGGGACGGCGTTTCCATACATTTCGGAGCCAATCAAGCATTAATGATTCCGGCATCCACCCCTTCTCTTGGTTTCGAATCAGGACATCATCTGGGAACAGCTTTTCATTCTTAGGGGTTTTAGGGCAATGTTTTTCCGTTTGAAGGATTAAGAAAGGGGGAAGTTTGCACCCGTCTGCTGTTATTGCCAGCATCACTGTTACGCGTTATGTTTTTCACATCCCGAAGTTTTGATGATACCTTCCTTAGTCCCCTTCTCCGTAATGGTGTAGTTACGAGGCATATCAAACCAAATTGGCCGTCTCGTCAGCGTTGCCAATTTGCCCCATTGAAAAATTCTTTTTCCTTCCGAAGTGAGATGACATACCGCTGAAATGTTAGTAGTTTTCCCTCAAAATCTGCAAGAAGCTTTTGGCATATTGTTGTACGGTGTCTTAGAGATAAGCCCATCCGCTTCATAAACCGATCCACCCATCCACGGCTAGCCTTAAACTCTTGTTTCGGTATTCCAAGAACTTCAGCCTCCTCTTTTGCTTTATTTCTTATGGTGTCACTAGTCACAGGTTGTCCATTCTTCCTCCTTTCACGTACAAATTCCAAAACGTTTTCTTCAATTTTAGGGTGTCTTCCTTTGCGAGGGCCAGTGAATTTCTTTCTACTAGCTTTAGTTGCAAACAGTGCCAATTTCTGTTGCCGCCACAAGCGAACATTGCTCTCAGCTACGTTGAATTGAACTCTCTCCCTGCCTTTCTACTGCCATTTTTTCAGCATAAAGAATTACTTTATGTTTGAAAGTAGCGTCACATGACATTCTTCTCTGTTTGCCCTCCATTTCGTGACTACGTACTCTGCAGTTTGTATCCTCTATGCAATAA